GTTGTTGTTGTTGTTGTTGTTGTTGTTGTTGTTGTTGTTGTTGTTGGCTTGGTCAGTGAATTGCAATAAGATCAACTATAAATTATGTCTAGAGAGATCAAAGACAGCATAATAATTATCCCAAGCAGCTGGTAGTGATATGGTCTAAAATAATATCTCGAATGTGAAATCACTTGTCTCACACTATCTAACAAGCTGACATTGCATGACAGAAGTGTTTAATAAAATTCTACGGAATCACTTGGGTTTGGCCTTTTTTTCATGTCAGCTTCAACGTCGCAGCGACAACTCGAACTCCAGCAATAGGTGAAGAATACTGGGAGATAGGAAGAAAGAAAAAAAGAAATGAAAAGAGCAAGAAAGGGGGAGGAAAAAGATAAAACCCTCATCCACTCGGGCTTGAGAGTATCATGACATTTGCAGAAATGACAGGAACTTTGTCACAAATTCGCATCCGACCCAGAACAAACTGGTGCAAGAAAAAAAAACGAGAAAAAAAACTAGATATAGACATCATCTAATCGAAAACAATGTATGAAACTGGATATGGCGCTGTCATGCTTTAGAGGTTATACCCGGTCACTAAGGAAGGAATACCTAGAAAGCTCACTACCGTAAGAGATTGAAAAAGAGCGTAAGACGCTCATATTCCTTCTCCACCTCGAAAGGTCCAAAATTTGAGGAGTTGCGAGAATGAACAGCGACCATTTGAAAGTCCACCTTGGTTACACCAGGTGTGAGTCGTACGTCGTATACCGGTTCTGTCGCGCTGGAATTGGGCTGCGGGGCGACATGGATATTATGCGTACCGATAAGAGCCACAAGCTTTGTTTGTCTCTGAGGTGTGCTTGCGGCAACTTGGAGGCGGAGGGAGACAAAATTGTGAGACGCAGGAAGGTTTATAACCAAAGACTCCTGACGATTTGTAGGAGAGGCTGGTATACTTAGACAAAATCTACTTCGAAGGTCCAAGTTCGGACGTGTACACACGGTCACATTAGAAATCAGAGCGTGGGTGGCATCTGCATGCATTTAGCTATAAATCAGAGAAGTCTTCACAACGTACTGCCTACCTTGACCAGGTGGCCTCACAATAGAATCCAGAGGCGAAATGTGCAGCACTGAATGAGCATCCACAACTTGACCTGCCGGATTGGATGGTAGCCACGGGCTAGTACTTTGATCACCTGAAATGTCAATCGCAGGAGGTGGTATAGCGGTTCCCATTGCGGATGACACGGGAGTTCGGTTAGGAGATGTAGAAGCAGGGTTGACAGACTCATGGCTAGACTCGCGAGAGGAAACAAGACCCAAGCTAGCGGAGGGCAAAGCTTGAGTTTCATTATCAAAGGTTGCAACAGTGGACCGAGAAGATGACGAGGCAGAGACACCCCGTTGAATCGACGCCGCCCCCTTCTCAGAATTCGATATCGGACTTGCCGCCGACTTTCGCAGACTTCTCGTAACTGGAGGTGTTGTGCGAGTATGATCTTCTTGCCCATTCGAGCCTGCCCTGACGAGTTCTTGCTCTCTTTTCAAAGCTTCGTTATCAACAGATACTCCCGGCTGCGGGCTGTCTTCAATTAAAGCCGCGCTTGGTCTTTGGCCAGGCAGTCTTAGTGTCAATCTCTGGGAGGATGACTCAGGAGTTTTACTAGCACCCATCTTCAGTCTAATACGTGGAACTGCACCGTCTCTATTTGTCTGTGCCGACTCAGTTACGAACCTTTTAGCTTCTGCGATACGACGCTTGAAATAATCCTGCCACTACGGTCAGCCTCGAAAAACCTGATTTTTACAATCACTTGCCTCTAGTACACCAGCGAAAACAACTATTTCGCTATCATCTTCGTTAAACTCTCGCGCATTGCGCCAAACAAACTCAACTTCGTCCTCAAACGACTGCCAGGTCGGAAAAGCAGTTGTTTTGGAAAATGGTTTCCTCCCATCCATCCCACGGACTTGTTTCTGAATGCTCCGCAAGGAGACTGGGTGCTTGATGATGTCGTAGTACTCCTTATACAAGTTACGATCCGGTTTGTTGATGAACGGAGTTGCTACATATCTTCCCCTGAGAGCACATTAGGAGATACGAAAGGGATAGGTTTAGGAGGGGATTCTCTTTCTCGTCGGTTAATGACTCACTGCGAATCTTTCAGGTGAAGTAATTCTGTTATTATCCTGTCTTGGGCCTCCTGGAGACTATCGCCTTCGAAACTGCTTTCTGGCTGGACATTATTTTCCGCCGGAGGCGTTGAATGTGAATCTCGTGGCGCTGATAGAACGGTCTCTCCCTCCATATCTTGATGATCGCGCCTGTCTACTCCTTCATGACTGGGGTTCTCTGGTAGTTTGTTTGGAAGAGGGGTGGGAAATGCGACGTATTTAGGATTCTTGTAGGCGGGGTTGATCTTCGGCATGTTATTTGAAAGGATTTTTCGGATCCGCTCCGCATCAGCGAAGATGAGTGAGGACTTGTCGTTGTAGAATTTGGCATTGCTGACCATGCGTTTGAGATCACTCTCAAGAGCTGTAACAGTAGGATACTCATAGTTGTTCAACTTATTCTGCATGCGACAATCATCAGTAACGTAACACGAAAGAACGCAAGAAAGGAATTGCATATCAGCTGATCTCAGTTGCCACGCTAGCCGGTACAGTTCAAGCAGACGGAGCGAATATAAGGATATACTGGATCTCTCGACGAAGCCAGAACTTACTTCAACCGTATCTATAGCTATCGGGAGCGCGATTGCTCTATAATAATCTGGATTTTTTTTCTGCACCAACAGTTAGATGCGGGCATGTGCAATGAATAAACCCTGCAGGAAATACAACTTACTCGATCTGGTAGATGGAGAAAATTGGTCGCAATGAGTCGTCCGCTGATGCAACGAGGGGTCAGTCACAATGTTACAGAAAGTTTGGCAATAATTCAGCTTGTACTTCTTGTCCGTGGACTGTTTAATATGCGCTAGCAGCCTTAATCCGACCTCTGTCGTGGCTTGGGGTGTTTCTGTCTCTGTGGCATGACCATCCTGCTAAAGTCATTGATTGAATCAGTATCGGCGACCATGAATTCTCCTCGTTTTATGGGAATCGAGACGATAGGCGCAGTGAAGAGAAGAGAATTGCAGCAATTTCAGGTAACTCCGCATCTAAGATTGCTGGCAATAAGGGTCGTTTCCCCGTGGTGTATCCCCAAGCCCCGGGCTCCGCCGCTCAGCGCGCGTCTGATGACGGCCTTGCGTTCCGCAATCGCTGATTCTCCAGACGCGGACTATCGACGAAGGTCTGATGCAAGGGTTCGAGTGATGGTTGAAAGTCATAGGGGTCCGGACACTTACAGATACCTTTCGCCTCTTCGAGCTGTGAGGTGTCGAGTCCAGGGAGCCCGCAGCGCCAGCTCTTCGTCTGGGGTTCATGGTCCTGCAAGTGGGAGGACAGAATTGAATCGCAATGCGCTGGCCGGTTACGGCAAGACCCGTCAGACGAATCTTGAGTGTTGCACGGCGCACAACTACAGCTCTCTCTGCGAATTGAACACCGCAGACTGTTCCATGGAATCAAGGCGTCTTCACTTGAATGTGATATGACGGCTAGGACGTCCTTTGTGTCCAGAAATTTGGCATAAATCTCTGCCGCCTTCTTGTCTTTGTGGTTGAGAAAGCATGACATATTATGAAGGATAATTCTATCTGAATGAAATCAATTATGATAGAATATAATCTCCAATGTCTTCAACTCTGCAGGCAGTTTGTATCACACCTGTTGGTAAGCCTTGTCACGTGCCTATGGCACAGGCTTCTACTTCCACCTTGGTCACATCATAGATTGGGCAAAGACAATGTGAGCATCATAGATTCTGGCTTCCATTCTCCTTAATTAGGCATCAGATTCAGCATGAATCTCCTGCGATCCATCATTCTTATTATGTTGCATCCCGGATCAGGATATGACAAGGCTTGCTGATGCTGTGGTTGGTATGTATGTACCATTATGCAGACTAAAACCTTTGAGATTAAAAACAATGTACAGTATCATACGACCCACCCCCACAGTACATTAAGTATCTTTTTTTTGGCAGGCTGCGTTGTACGTTCTGTAGAATTTTGAAGGTGGAAAGTTAGCGAACTGATATTTTAATAGTGGCTAATAATTTGCCTGCTGATTGGTATCAAAAGATGCTCATACAATGTCCTTGAGAGCCCTATGTTTTGTTATCTTTCCCATATATATATATATATGTGACGCCATTCCCCATCAAATATCTGAATATTGTATTTCCATTCACGCCAGTAACGTATAATCATTAACTTGATTGGTTTAATCCACCTTGTCATTCTCAGCCTTGGACTGGTAGTCCTTAACACCCGATATCAATGCGGGCCATTAGCATCACCCCCACTACACCGGGGATATACGGAGTAGGTACCTAGGTATGAAATATCGATTTCCGTTTTTGCATACTGACACGTGTTTTTATAAACGGTAGGTAAGAGATATGGCGATAACTACGGCAAAAAATATACAACAAGGGACATAGTATAGGTAGGAAGTCTGCCTAGAGTGAGAGAGACAAAGAATGCGTGTATCTAAAATATGAAAAAAGTAGTATACTCCGTATGTATATGGTGAGGAATACAGGTCGAGGCCGCCCAGGAAGCAAACAATAAAGATTATATAATAATAGAAAGGTCATGGCATAGACCAGTATCTTCTCTTCCAAATCAGTCAGGCGAAGCGAGACCTGTAAAGCTTGTTGTTACATACCACTATTACCTACCAGGTAGGTAGGCACTATGCCCGTCCACTACAGCGGTGTTTCCATGTTTCCATGCCCAATCTGGATAAGAACGGTTCTCGGAGCTCTTGGCCACCACCATCTTCCTGTTTCTCTACACGCATCACAGCAATCTGATCTCAAACAACTACAAGAGAACGCTAATTCCCAGTGGACTTGACCATCTTATCCAACCTTCTTTCCACAATCAAAGCGCTCTTTCTTTCTGTTACCTGCGAACTCTATCACACGAGAAGACTCGTTTTTTCCGACAAATATGTCACACATGGACATTGACCTGAGCAGGCGGAACAAAAAGCCACGTCTCCTGCTAGAATCAGAGCGGGAGAAGCTCGAAGAATTTATCGACTCTATTCACTATTCCGCTCGGTGCGTGATTATCTTTTCATACTGAAAAACAAAAAGACGTATGGAAAGCGCTAAACAAGGGTAGATACTCCGACGACGAATACGAATATCGACACGTACAGTTACCCAAAAACATGCTGAAAAAGATCCCTGCCGACTACTTTGACAGCTCAAAAGGCACATTGAAACTTCTCTGGGAGGAGGAATGGCGAGGTCTTGGTATCACTCAAGTATGTTTATCACGGCTGTCCGGGGAAAAAATAATTGTCGCGCCATTTATATCTGACTGCGTGTATTAGAGTCTAGGATGGGAGCACTATGAAGTTCATGAACCGGAGCCACATATCCTCCTTTTCAAGTACGAAATTCATATGTGCCGATTGCAAGACTGTTCTAACCATTTGCGCAGGCGCCCGATTAATTACCAACCTCCTACATCGCAGTAGCGTCTGAGTCTCATTTCGTCTACTGTGGAATTTTCTTGGTGTTCTTTTTCCAGGAAAATACAGAGGCGACAACCTTACATTGCAATTCAAGGATGCCTGAACAATATAGTGCTTAGGAGTATCTATCTGTTCTCAAAATGAGATATGATACGCTCCTTTCTAAGACACGAATTCAAGCAACTATGTTTGCCCTTGAATCAATAAACGCTAAGGTCTCCTGTGAAACTTGAGCGGTTTGGAAGACTTGGTCCTACGTCTGTGATGACATTCAGACCACGTTGTTGCGAAGCCAATCCTCCCACTGAGCGGCGGCAAAACTGCTGCTGATACCTTTTTCCTCAACACCCTATGCAAGCTGCAGTTAGTATACAACGGCAATTGCCTATTGTTATTCTGACAGCTACAACTCACGTTAAAGAAGACAGTCGGGGAAACATGGACGCCCACAACACGATTTGCCTGATACCACGTCAGAGACTTGTGGCTCAGATAATAGATTGCTGGCTCAAATGACCTTCGTCATCAGCTTAATGTCATTTGTCACCCCATTGCCATTGTTTAGGCTTCCATCCTCGCCCGGTTTGTCGCTCACAATCAGCAAGTCAAGAACTCGTTTCTCGTCAACGCCAACACTTGCTGCAATTCTTGCCAATCGCCTGTATGTGTCATTTCGCGTCTCGTTGACGACATTAACGTCAAAAAATTCGGTTTGTTGCCTGAACAGTGCCCTGCTGAATTCCCAGAACTTTTCCGGAGCCACTTTCAAGACGGCCGCACCAGCCTCATGCGTCAAGGTCGACGAAGGGTGCCAAGGTTGGATATGCTGACGAAATATAACCTGGAGCCTATGCTGATATTTTTCAATGATAATGGGTCTGACGGAGTTGTAGAAGGTGTCGAAGAGCTTCGCTGAGTACTGCGGATAGGTTGAGCTTCAGTGACATCTGTAGTTTCAAAGATCCATAGAGAGACTAACTGGACAAACATAGTCAAGATCTGTGTGGCAGAATGTCATTAGTAATTCTTCGCATGTTCTAGAGACATTTTTCCCATGGTTTCTCACAGAGTTCAAGCGTATGTGGTGTATCGTTCACGACGGCCGCCGCCGCCTGCAACTTCTGGCCGCTGAATTTAGGAGGAAGAGCCATGATTTCCCAAGGCTTTTGTAAATGAGAATGAGTTTTGGAGACTATGAAAATAATGTAAGTCTTACGAGCAAGGGATTAATCAGAGTCAGGTCACAGCTATAGAATAGCGGAAGGAGGGGCAACGGCGCTTGTGCCGCATGGTTATGTCATGCTTATCGTAAAGGTATTCCCGACAAACACCATGAATGGAACCATCCAAATTGTTAATTTTATACCCTAGAAATGAGGCAGAATACTTGACTAAATGGCCAATCCTAAAAAAAGAACACAAATATCCGTTCCAATAGAAATTTAAGGAGACCAAGAGAATCATAAATATTAGCCCGTCTGACCGACAGATGGTCTCAGACGTCTCTGCGACGTCCGAGTGGCTTCTGAGTGTACAGGTTGAAGTCCTTTAACTGCATCGACACAGCAGTCCAACTCCTTGTAGCTGGATCATATTCACCAGACACCTCGATCCTGCAGTATCCCCGTGGACCTTTCAGACCGACAGGACCGGTAATGTAGAACACGCCTCGCTTTGGGGTTGGACGATAACGAGACCAGGATTGTCTCAGGCGCCATTTAAATGCCATTGAAGCCTGATGTAAATCGGAACCAGGTGCAAAACTCGGAAAAGGCAGTCTCTGTAGAATTGATATGACCAAAGAAGGGTGGGGACGACTCGGGCTCTCATTATGTGGAAGACCTTCCTTGAGTGAGTTAGAAGTAAGTACTTCGTGATCTGACAAAGACGGCATATCCTTCTCAGTTGAATTTTCAGTATTTTGCTGCTTGGCTGTTTTCGTCATAAACATAATGGAATTGTCAGAATATCGAGGTCCCTCAACATGTAGAAATTCTTTTAGCCGTTGAAGCTGCTTGTTCCAGAGGACCTTGAAAGCATCACTGGTAGCCAAGGCAACAGCAAGAGGTAGCAAAACCTTCCGAATTCGGTCACCTTGATCAGGAGCGATAGGTTTCGACACCCACGACACATGGGTATCCGAGATTTCCAAACTATCATATGTTTTTTTTTAGTATGCCGGTTTTCCACGGCCGAATAGAAACTTACCCTGACTGTTCGTAATGAGGTGGTGCGCGATAAGGGAAGCGATGAACGAGCCAAGATTCGGTAAGCGTCAACGGGCTTCCCAAGAGGCGCCTGAGCTGTACAGACTCTGACGCCTTTCTCCAGACAATTGCGGAAAGTTCATCTATGGACATAAGTACTCGGGCAATCAGGAAATGGGATATCGAACACATACCTCGAAGCGACTTGAGTCGCTGCTTATCTCCAGCTGTTTTCACAAATTCCTGCCACTCAATATCCGATGGCGCATAGAGCTCTCCAGGTCGCATCCGGGGCCATCCCAAAGGAATGAACATGAAATCCTCTTCAACGGTGCCATCTACCCCTCTTTGAGATACATTTTTGTTCGCTGTCGTATCCTCAGGCGAATCAATTTCAATATCCCCATCGAATTGAAGAGATAATAGCGAGGTCCATATGTAGAATGCAGCGCCGTAGAGCAAGCATGTTGTAGCAAACCGTCTTGTAATCAAGTTAATCAAATGCGCCTATGAGAGGGACAATAGAAACTGAGCAAAATACCTAACCCACGGCCTCTTGAATTTTACGTGGTGCACATTGGCCAACCCAATGCTATGAGAGAATGCCCGACAATGTCGGAAATGAGGTGAAGGGCTGCAAAGCGGCCGCCTGAGCAGAAGCATTGAGAACTTGAAGTCTCCAGATATACACTTATCTGAAGGACATGCTTCGTCTACTTCAATGTGGCGCTAGCTGCAAAAAGAGGGTAAAATAAAATGAAATCCGACCAGAGTCATGAAAGAAGACGTTTACACAGACCCGGCCAAAGAACCTCCTGATAAATGGCTTGTCGAATTCAGTGCCGGGTTTGGTTGCACGTGATGTCCGTTACTCACTGGTATCTACTAAGCTGCATAACGATCTCCCAAAAATAACTTCAAGCTCTTCAGCATTACTGATTGGTCTCCGCTGCCGACTTCCATCTGTGGTCGGCGGGAAACGTTTAACGCAATAATCTCTTCAATGAAAGGGTGCAAGTCATCAAAAGATCGCGTTCATCTGTCCGCAGCGGCTTTGTCTGTACTCCGAACTTGGACCCAGAATGCAATACATAGCAAAGTTCCTGACCCTATGTCTGGCAATTACATTGACGACGACAGCATACGATGGGGCAATATATACATTTGATTCTGGCAAAGGGTCGAAGCTCTTGCATAACGATGTCGTACGCGAAGACATTGCCAAACTAGTCTTGGAGCAACGAATGAAACCAACTCGATCCACTTCACTCGGAACTGTTGATGAACAAGTGGTGGAGTTATTGAACCACATTGGAGGACAGCAAGTCCCACTCTTCAGCGATGAGGGATTGCTTGACAGCCGACAAAGATTACTTATCGTCTGCGAAGGGGTAGATCACGAATCCGGTGAGTAGTATTTTGTCAGAACCAGGAATTCCTCAGCGACAGCTCATTAACGCCTTTAATCCAGTATCAGCCATAACTAAGGCACACGAAAATAGTATAATCATTCCTCAGATACCTTCCAATTTCATCGATGGCGATTTCCTTAAGGATCTTCTTGATTTTGATCCCGTCACTTTTGGAGACTCTAGAGCGTGCGTCTTTGAATTTAAGGAAGGAACAGAGCCACGAGGGTCAACTTTGAACTTCCTTGTAAGGATATCACTGGAATTCAACATCTACGGACGCGCTTCGCTGACTTAGTAAATTCCTAAAGGAAATTCGAGAATGTCTTTCACGACATTCTCTCTTCGGAGGTGTTGCTGGCATCTTAAGCAGCGACTCTCTCGCTAGCTTCTCTCATGTCTCGGTGGATTCTTGGGTTGGAAAAAAGGGCACGGCTGGGATCTTGAAACTTGACTTTGAGGTATCTTCTAGCTATTCTTCAGCGATGAGCCCAGTACTAACTTACATGTCTATAAACAGGCAAACCATGTAGATCCACTATCTCCAGCAAAACTCTTAGACTCTCTTTTCAAAAACTCCTCCGCATCAGCTTCAGAACTTGAACAAGAAATCACTGTTCTTATTTTGCCTCTTAGGTCCTCGGGTACTGCATCAAATCGTCAGCGTCGATCCGATTGGAGGGAATCGTTATTGTCGAAGTCTTCCAATCCACTCTTTTCTGCGCCGGATACTCCCATAATGCCAAAGTTGCAGCAATCAAAAACCACGCCATCAACGCTTATGCCTGTTTGTCATGCCTCAAATTCTTCCTGCGTTACTGCCACCAATAACTGTTCGGGTCACGGGCATTGCTATCTGAAGTATGCTTCCAAAGATGAAGCCATCGCTAGCGACTGTTATGCGTGCAAATGTGAAAAGACCGTGATACAAAACCCAGATGGTACTGTTAAAACAGTTCAATGGGGCGGCGCGGCATGCCAGAAGAAGGACGTTAGCACGCCATTTTTCCTTCTGGCGGGCATCACAATCCTCACTGTCGCTGCTATTTCCAGCGGAATAAAGATGCTTTTCAGCGTTGGGCAAGAAGAACTACCGAGTGTCATAGGTGCTGGAGTTGGAATCTCTAGAGCTCAGAGATGAATCTCATACTCAGCCGCTTTTTTTATCCGGTGTTTCTTCTATTTCGCAGTAAGTGGGAAAATATATGGCACTGGTTTACCGAGGCAGGAGTCTTGGGAATACCTGTAATTCATTGTAGATACAAGTTGATGGGCATTTAAAACATCCGAGGCGAAGAACACTGGAGAGCTGTTGTTACGTTACACCGATTCAAAGGGCAAAATTTGACTAGTTTCATCAAATGGTATCACTGCCAACATCTCGAATGTAACAGAGTAAACTGTAAAACAAGCCAAGCCAGGTACTATCCTTACGATGCTAAACGCCTCCTTCGCTGAATGACGACATTCACATCCAAATTTTCTCTTGAATCAAATAAGAGCAAAAAAACAACCAAATTCACCAACACCGGTACGGTACGCAAGGGACGCAAAAGCAGCATCCCAATCCTTGGGGACAAAAACCCAAATCGGAAGATAACCAAGACGAGAAGTCATCACAAAACATCAAGAGAAAGTCGTGTTTGTAAAATCAAGCACATATGTTCATCAACATCCAGACACGCCCTGGTAATAGGCGAGATAACAAAGAAAGCACATATTTGTACAGCATTTGCACAGTGTAAGTAAGAAGGTATATATGATTCAGAAAAAAAGATCGTCAATGGCCCAAACACGCGCCACCAATTCAACAACTGAAAGGTTCAGGCTGCCTGGTAGAATATACCCTCCAAGATACATTGAAGAGACCCTTTGGAACAGTCGATAGACTTCCAATTCAGGTGGTAGATCCGGATTCGAGCTGACGAGGGGTAGGAGTTTCCTCCCCAGCCACCGGAGTACGCAATGGTGAGTGATTGCCATGCGCGGGGCGTTCGCGGCTAAGACCATTGGATGAACGAAAGGATGATCTAAGTACTCGAACAGCTGCTAATCTTGTCCTCCAGTTTCGCGCCTCGGTTCCATCAATAACTGTATTTGGAGTGTCACGGCTGTTGCTCGAGTAGTTTTGCGTATGCCATGGGCTTCTACCGTCCTGTACATGTCGAGAAGATCCATCCCTTTCCTCAGAGGGAACTATCGCCATAAACCGCCCGGGGAGTACTATCCTCGCTCTGAACGGATTTGCACGACCACCAATAAGCACAGCCTGTGGCGGGTTTGGTGTATTAGTTCGGCCTGTGGTCCGACGCCCAAGGCGCTCAGCTTCCAACACAGTTTCAGGACCTTCGGGACGTGGTTTTGGAACATAGTAATCAGCTTTGCAGAGCGGACAGCATGCCCGCCGGCTTGTTAACCAAGGGTCCACACAGGATGCATGGAATGCATGACCGCATGTAAGACCTCGTATGTCATCATCGTCTTCGATGAGGTCTAGACATATTGCACATGAATCACCTGGACTAGGTAACAATTCTGCCGACACGGCCATTCGGATTTGATCATCATCGTCATCATCCTCGAAGGCCTGTGACTGCTTCTGTGGATGGATCTGCGAGCCCTTTCCAGAGGGGTCACAAGCCATGTCCGATCTCGAAGATTCAACCAGCATGCCAGTGTCGGTGGCAGCCTTCTCGTCTGTTTTGACAGTTAAGTTTTCGGCGTGTTCAACAAGACTAGACGGCTCTATTGGATTGGGATCATGGCATTCACGACCTTTGGTAGGTGTGGATGCAGTTGGCGCTGCTGACTGCGAGTCGGCAAGCACCGGTTCTATAGCAGGTGAAATATCTCTATTCTCATTCTTCGGTGTCTGTGGTCTGCTGGATGGCGCCATTATCCCGCCCGCACTTGGAAGGCCTTTGTCGAGACGAGACGACCGCCAAGCTTTATACTTCATAAGAGGAAATCGCTCGTTGACTTCCTCCATGGTCATCAGCTTTTTCTCTCTCCTTCTTCTATGAGTCCTTGGCGCACTCATCAAGTCAATAGGTTCACCGGTTTCTTCATTTCGTAGCTGACGATTTCGTTGATTGTATCGGAAACAGTACTTCACACCAACGATAATCCTATATTTCAAAAATCAACAGATGTCTTTCCATGGCATTGTAGAGAGCAGGAGAAAAAGAAAAGGCGTATGCAACATACCACAAGTTTGTGAAGACAACACCAAAGCCCAGGGCAACAAAGAACAGGAGAGGAGAACTTGTCGGTCCACCACCGCCCCCGCTTCCATCTCCATTGTTCCCGGTACTCGTAGGGACGGCGCTAGAACTTGTCTGAGAAGGGGAAGACATCTCAGGTTAGATGAGAAGTCCAATATGAATGCTTGGCAAACAGAAACTGAGGCAAAGGACCACGAGTGGTCGTTGAAATAAAACCGCGGGTGCAACACGCAAGCGAAATATTCACAAGTGATAAGAGAGGATGTAACCGGTTTGGATGCAATCCTGATGTCCCCTTTCACTCCGGGAACTGATACGATCGAAGAGCTAGTCCCTTCCAGTTGAAGGACAGGACTGAGCTGCAGCAGCGATGAATACCAGAAAGATCCGAGAAATTAATAGTCCAGACCATAAAAGGGCATCTCTGTGTCGTGTTATTCCATCGAAAGCCAACCGCATGAAGCGACACCCAGGGCCCGCCGGGGTAAATTCAACAAGTCGATTAACAACCGCCAGCCCAGAATAGGGAATAGGAATATATCTGGAAGATGAACCTGAAGACAAGATGACAATAGTTGTGTGATTAATAAGAGAAGAGACGTTCAAAAAAAAAGGCGCTGTTCTAATGAACGAGTCCACGATGTCCTTAAGGTCAAAAGAACATTGCTGATTGCCGAGGACAGTATGTACGTTGTGCTGGAGCGAGAAGGTCCACGAGTGTCAAGATTGCGTTGCAGCTGGTAGTGAGCGAATAATGCGATCGTAGAATGAGCCACCCCCGAAAGATGCGATGGCCAGGAAATAGGCGTGTTGTGTTGAAAGTAGTTGACCGGAGAGATCTCACTTTTCAATCTTGGAACTGGGAGACTGCACTGAAACTGGTCACGGGCTCGCCGGATCACCGAAACAGGAGCCTATTGCAGTCAATCTCGGACGATGAGACGACAACAACAACCACCTTACGTTACATTGAAGGACGACATGAGATGTCTAAAAATCATCAAGATTAAGAAGTGGAGGTCTGGGTCATCAGTACTGATTGATTAGCAGGCTATGGTGATTGAGTCTTGCCACCGACTGATAGTCTAACAATTCCGAGGAGAGTGAGGAGAGCGCCACAGTCGCCAACCGGACAATTTCATCTTCAGTTACTGGACTTTGTTCATGCATGGGTGTCGACATTGATTTGAAAACTCGAGAACGATTCACAATACACAAAATACGGGCAGTTAATAAGTTACTTGTAACAACAAGAAGGCCAATGTGTCAACTTCCAGTCGAGGTGCCCAGAGTTCAATTAGCCACACAATTTATTGCTATCGTGTCCTGTCAAGATTCAAGAGAAACATATCAGTAGACACAAAGTGCCCATTTCCCCACTAATATCAGTGGATCGGTTTTGTGTAGAAATTGTAGGATCTCCGGAACGGCAGAACAAGAGCGGTGGGGAGGGGGGGAGGGAGGGGGCAAAGGAGAGGGAAAGGGAACGGCACACACATCTTGACATGCTGTTGACCACTGCAAGAGAGGAATTCGCAGTCTCGCAATAAAGGCATCTGTCCGCAAACCTCCTTTGGGACAAGCCTATCATGGCTCATTCCGGCGAACAGACGTCTAGAAATCCAGTGGTATTTTTTGATATAGCTCTCGGTGGTGAGTTTTACTTTTTAAGTAGTGACAATGAAGGAGGGAATAATTACAATCGATTGGAAATGAATACATTCCTTTGAGCAGAGTCATTCTTTAAAGCACTTCTTATCTATATATCATTTTTTTTATCATTAAACTTAACCATGGCATGTCTTATACTGATAGCGAATGTTGGTATGACCATAGGGGAACCATTGGGTCGTATCAAAATGGAGCTCTTCGCAGATGTTACTCCTCGTACTGCAGAAAATTTTCGCCAATTCTGTACAGGAGAGGCCAAAGATAGTCAAGGACGGCCACGAGGGTACAAAGGAAGCAAGTTCCATCGTGTGGTATGACCATGTCACCTCCTAAACTTCTTTATCGGTCATGCTAATAGTATCGTTGAATAGATAAAAGATTTCATGATACAGGGAGGCGATTTCATTAATGGCGATGGGACAGGCAGCACTTCAATCTACGGCGGCCAGAAATTCCCTGATGAGAATTTTATTTTAAAACATGATCGCGCAGGATTACTGAGCATGGCTGTAGGTGTTCATCCCTTCCATAATACATACATAATACTTTTTTAGATGCATATCTAATCTTCACAGAATTCCGGGCCAAATACAAATGGATGTCAGTTTTTCATCACAACAACCGCAACACCATTTTTGAACAATAAACATGTTGTCTTTGGACAAGTTGTTGACGGAATGGATGTTGTCCGAATGATTGAGAACACTCGAACAACCCGAGATAAGCCAAATCAGGACGTCACAATAACGCAATGTGGGGAGATGTAGACATTGTGTTCTTCAATACTTAGGTAGGCTATGACAATGGAGAGAATACAAGTACCGGTATCCGTTCTAAAGACAAAAAAATGTATCCTATTTCCAAAATAGTGTCTTCACCAATAAACACATGATATCTATTTAACGCCCGAATCCTGTGTAATATAGGTTGATCCTTGAGAGGGCTACAGACGGTGCATTTGACCAACGTCATCATAGGGCAAAGGTCATTTCTTTGATACCTACAAGTGAAACTTTTTCAAATATTCCGTGGCGGCGGCAATTGCTTCATCAACTTTATCAACATTGGTGCCATTGCCAATGCATGTAGGAGCCTTCCCTCCGGCCTTGCCTCCTACTACGCCTGAAACAACGCCCGCCCAATCGCTCGCTGATGCTCCTAGGTCACTGGCAACCTATTCCAAAGCGTCAGTAGTAGCTCTATAGACTAAACCTTTGAGAAAACTCACCTTAGATACGTAACACCCATGAGCGACTTTTCCCTGCTGAGGATCCGCAGCAAGCAAGTACACAGATTTGTCGCTCAACTTTGATTTGACATAATTCAGTGACTCACTCACAGCTTTTGAATTCGCTGATATTGGGAGCTTCGCAACAAGCCACGACCGGTCTTTGTTTTCAGGAGAGTGGAAAAATGATGTTATAGTGTCGAGGGCCTTCTTAGATTCAAGCTTTTGCTGAGCTTTCTGACCCTCGATTACCTGTTTATTGATCTGGGCAAAACGGTCCCGAAACTTTGCCTTCTGTACCGCCGATATGGAAAGTTGGTTGAGTTCGGTTTGAACCTTCTTTGCTTCCAGCTCCTTCTGAGGACCCAGTTCCATTGCTTCAAGATTGTCCAACCGTGCTTCAAATTCTCTCGCCACTCTCTGCACCTCGTGGGCATCTTCTCCGGTTACAGCAGTTATACGACGGATCCCTTTGGCGATGCCGGTTTCTTCAAGAATGACTAGATCTTTGATATCGCCGGTTTTTTGAACATGGGTCCCACCGCAAAATTCAATACTTACCCCTCTCCAGCGTGGATCCTTGACATTCTTGAGTATCTCTTCGAGTTCGACGCCAACAGAGACCACGCGCACAGGATCAGGATATGTTTCTCCAAACACAGCACGGACCCCTGTAATCTCCCGAGCTGTCGCTAAAGGAATTTCTTTAGCATAAACTGTGCAATTCTGGCGGATGTACTCCGTCGATATCTTCTCGATTTTGTCAAGCTCATCGTCCGTAACCGCAGATTTGTGGGAGAAGTCAAACCGAAGCTTCTCAGCTGCAACTAGAGAGCCCTTTTGGTCTACGCCATCCCCAAGGATCTCTCTCAAAGCGAAATTCAAAATATGCGTTCCAGTATGGTTGTTCCTAATCGGCCGTCGACGAAGTTCATCGTACTCGCAAATCACAGAGTCGCCGACAGTGAATGAACCATATTTCATGAAACCCGTATGAAGGACATAGCCAGCGTAAGATTGGACATCACCCACTTCAAGTTCTGCCTCCCCATCAATGATGATCCTCCCAGTGTCGTTTTCCTGACCACCTTGTTCTGCATAAAAATTGGTACGGTCAAGAATGATGCCAAGTTGTTCGCCCGGGGGAACGTCCTTCGTCGATTGAACAAATTGCTTGCGATAGTAGATAGCTTTGATTTGAGAAGTGATATTTCCCTGTTCAAATTTGGCCCTGTCATCTGTCTTCGGAACGTCGGTCATCTTCTCCAGTTTTCCAAGGTCATGAACGTCGAGTTTGACAGTATCCGCTGCGGCTTGCTTCAATCCCCTACTGGCCTCCTTGGCTTTCAATCGTGCTTCTTCAAACTCCGCATTATCGATCCGCAGACCCCGTTCCTCAGCCATGATTTGAGTCAAATCGACAGGAAATCCGAATGTGTCATATAACCTCCAAACATCGGCGCCGTGCAGCTTGTCAAGACCCTTCGCCTTCGCCTGTTGAGCGTAATGTTCGAACTGCCGCTCGCCCCGATCCAATGTCTTGGAGAACGATATTTCTTCCTCATCCAGTATTTCCATAACTTCAGTTTGCTTCTTCCTTAGCTCTGGGAACATACCGCCCATCTGCTCGACGAGAGTCGGCACGATCTTGGAGAAGAAGCTGCCAATCTCGACCCTAAAATACTTCCGAGCATAACGAACTCCTCTTCGTAATACCCGGCGAACAACGTAACCCCGACCTTCGCTGTTTGGAATAGCTCCATCAGATATCGCAAATGCCAGAGTCCTTACGTGGTCCGCCACCACACGGTAAGCAGTATCAATGCCATCAGGATCATCGGCTCCAAAGCGACCTCGATATTCCCGGGCGCCGGTGACATCCTGAATAGTCTTAAATAGAGGCGAAAAGACGTCTGTATCATAATTGGATGATTTTCCCTGAAGTATGGAAACAAGCCGTTCAAAACCCATGCCTGTGTCAACATGTCTGTTAGGCAGGGGCCGTAAAGATCGGTCCGCTTCACGGTTATATTGAATGAAGACATTGTTCCAGATTTCTAGGACGTCTGGATCATCCTGGTTGACGAGATGGGCAGCATTACGGCCACCAATCCGGTCGTAATGGATCTCACTGCAAGGTCCACAGGGGCCTTGATCGCCCATCTCCCAGAAGTTATCTTTCATATTGCCCGGGAGGATGTGATCGTCAGCGACTCCAACCTTTCTCCAAATGTCTCTAGCCTCCAAATCAGGTTCCAAGCCACCGGCTTCACTTCCTTCAAAATAAGTAACGTATAGTCGGTCTGGGTCCAGGCCATAGACTTTAGTCAGCAGCTCCCAGGAGTAGCTGATAGCTTCTTCCTTAAAATAGTCACCGAAACTCCAATTCCCCAGCATTTCAAAGAAAGTCTGCGGTTAAAAAAAATCTTATCAGCCGTTTGAACGTTCTGAGATATATTAGCAAACTCACATGATGATAACCATCCTTCCCCACGTCGTCCAGGTCCTAGATTCGTCAGTAACCTCTATTCAGTTTCTATATATATATATTTTTTTCAGTATCTCTCATACATTGTGTTTACCACCTGCACGGATGCACTATTCAGAATTAGCCAGGCCATCGTGAAAGATGTGAAAAGAAAGCATTACTTACTTTTTGCGAATTGACAGCACGCTTCAGGTGTGCGAAATCAGACTGCGGATCGACGGTTCCCAAGAAGATTGACTTATATTGATTCATTCCAGCATTTGTGAAAAGCAGAGTAGGGTCTGAAAGTGGCACAACAGAAGAGGAGGGAACTGCACAAAGGATTTTCGTTGAGCAAAAACCATTTCAAGTCATAGAGAATTTTCACTTACCAAACGTATGCCCCCTTTTTTTGAAGTAGTCCAAGAAGGTTTCCCGCACACGATCAGCTGTCCACTGGGGACGATCTTGATTAGTCGAAGCCATCCTGAAGGAAATGCGATTGTTGAGAAGCCGGAGAGTGGTTGCGTTTTGGACAAGAGAAAAAGGATGGAATGTTCTGGGAATCGACCGGGATGGCAAGAAAAGGTGAGTCACGGCCAGCTCCCCATCCCTCAAGAACCTCAGAACTCGCATCAAGCAACCCCGGTTCAAGATCGACGCTCCCCAACAGACACGTTCAGATTGGCCAAATTTCTAGTTTTTCTTCCGCGAAGCCTATAAGAAACCTTGAGAGATCGACCTGGTTCTCTGGAGGTAGTGAATGGCGCCAAGGTTCCATGCCGCCCCTGCAAAAGTCTTGCCGGAAGCGCCCTGCGGACAGCGACCCAGACGGCGAACCACCCGTAAAGAAATTTGGACGTCTGCACATTGGTACCTTTCCACTTCTTTCCAAGAGAGAACAATACATATGTATTGACTAATGCTTCATTTAGGTACATTGGACAACGACAACACCAGCCATGAGGTAGCAACCCAAGAATCGACAACTGGGGAAGACTCGCGGTCGAGCGATTTTATGCTGCTGGATGATACGAAGCACACAGCCTATGTTTACGATCTAGATCGGGAGTTGGAGGAAATAGAGGCTCAGGAAAAGCGCATTTCATTTCTGCCGGAGATCGAGAAGACACTGAACTCCATCCCGAAGGCTGTTCTCAAAGACCCGAAGCCGGACAACGAGATCGTTCTTTACCGAGTACCGACCTCGCTAACAGTCCCTGAAGAAAAAGATAGCGTTCGGAGAGCTATCCTGGAATCTAGAGCACGCGCCAGAGCACAACAACAAAGGGAGAATGAAAAAATTCATACTGCAAAGGCTGACACAGAATATAGCAAAAGCACATCTCAGAACTCTGCCAACGTTTTACTGGCGTCACCAGAAGATGGTAATGATGTAATGGACATCGATACCGAATCATAATCGAATTTTCTGCGGAGAGTTTGTATTAACCATTCACTCACTACAAATAATCGCTCAAGGAAATAACTATTTTTGATGATACTGACAAACGGCAATGGAATAGCATAGCTAGCAAATAACCTTTGTTTTTGTCGGACTTAATAATCATGTGGGAATGGGCTGCTTTTGGTGGAAATATCTAGTTTCATCGCTTCGCCTGGCATAGGCCCGAGGCCACCATCACCGCCGCTGGAGTCGCTAGACTACTGATCTTCTAGTTTGCTGATGGACTTTCCTGTGCAGAGACTGCCTAGCCGGCATGGTACCATTACAGTAAGCTATGGAAATCAGTGGCTTTCTGAAACTCATGTCTTGTTGACAGGTCAATAAAATATACAAAGTGGGGAAGGAATATGAGATTCCAGTCTATGCATTTCCGTGGTATGATAGTACTCGACTGAAGATGCCAATGGATTCCATTGATATCGAGGATAGAACCACTGCACAGTCTATCGGCATCCTAATAGTACAATCAGCATGATTTATCGCAGATAGATTCACTTTGTGGTATCCTAATGGAGGCATTTCTTTCCTCATCCTCAATCGACCATGCGAATGGCCTGTGATAACCCAGACAAGGATGGAAAGCACAAGAGCTCCAAAATTGCCCATTTAATAATGATTATGGTCTGTATATTCTGACTTGGCAATTAGTAGGAATATTAGTTTTTAGGCATATCAGGATAAAATCTCTCATGCCTCTTCCTCATAGAATATATTTCAGAAGTATCCTGCCTTCTGGGAAGAAATAAAGGTATCATTTCATGTAGAGAGGAGAAATCAAAAAAAAGGGGAGAAAAGCAAATGATAAATCTAAACCAGACCATTTAATGCCAATGACCTTTTTTTTTTCCTCACAGACTTTGGCAAGAGCACCACAATGCAAACCAATTCAATGCAAATTTATCAAATTAAATTCATGTTTAGACCTGCAGTTTGCATAAGAGAACTGCAAGTGATAGCAAGGAGCACTTACTATCACAACACTGAGACTGTCCAAACACCACATGTGGTCCCAAAACCTGTATTATCACACAAAGCACCTAGGATTTATACAGTACTTATAGCTAAAGAAGTGAAACTATTTATGATTCTCAGCAATCTAGAGTAGTTGTCAAATGTCCTTTCTGGTAGATATTTGGCCTTCTTACCTCTATTATAACATCCTATTTTATTAGATGATGCCCCCCTGACAAGCTGACTACTGAATTCTTTAGCCCTAATATGCTCATAAAGGACTTTACTAGTAAGACCCTATGAGGCTACAAGCATCAGGTTCAGGGTATCAGTCTGCTGAAACATGTACAAACATATATATAGTGCAATTAGATTACTATGCCTTAAGGTAGATTTTTACCCCATACTATGACAACAGAATATGAGCAGGTTCCTAGACAAAATGACAGACACAGACCATTTTGGAATTTGTTACATAGCCGGTCATCTTTAAATCCGATGTAGGCATTTTGTTATCTGAATTTAGGATGGGATATTGCGAGTGTTTGCAACATATAAAAGAATTAGTAGGAAGTAGCAGGAAGCCCACGTCAGAGGGGGATAGAAACCTATAATGAGGAGGGAGAATGGCAAGGTCTTTTAAGGTTTTATTATTGAGTCATGCTTAAGTAGGTACCACTGCAATAATATTACTTAATATGGTAATTTTTCAACTAGGGTTGCTGTTCTGAGCAGGGATTCATCCAGACACCTTTTTTTTACTAATAATATCTCTGCTAATTATTTCTCTAGGTAAAAGCTCTAAAATCATTTTAGCACACGAAAATACTAGGAATTTTTATTGTGGGTTTTAAAAATATGACATCCAAGTGTTCAAAATAAAAAAATATGCAATTCAGCTCACCAGTATTTTTAGTAGAAGCTCTTTACATAAAATTTGTAGGGGTTTCCTGAGTAATTGTGTGTAGAATACCTCTCTATTTAAGCCTTTAATAAAATATACATATACTTTAACTTGACTAGTTATTTTTATTTTTATTTTCAGTTTCATTTTCTTTTTTAATATATTTTTATATAATTTACTAGAATATTACTCTTAATTTGTTAAGAGTTAAAATATGGATAGAAGCCGAATACGACTACAGAAACTTTGGTGGCGGGGTGGTATTTTTTACGCTCCTTCAAGTTAGGTAGGGTTTGGTGGATACCTCCTAATACCTTATCTCCTTAGGTTCCTAACATAGTGCCCACTGCCCACTACCTTAGGTACTACCAGTACTGCATCCAACTATTATTTTGGCATCTGGAAATAACACATCAGGTCACGAAAAATTTTCCCTCAAGTCCAAAAGCGATTATGAGAAAATATCATACACGTGTTTTTTATATGGATTTGATATGAACGAGACTTGCCAGCTCACATGAAATCAAAATACTATGAGTTCAAATCAGGCTTCTAGTACGCTCTTACAGAAAGAGAAACGCAAACGAGAAGAAACAACTCTTGGTGAGAACGAAAACCATCATCACCTGACAAAAAGAAGCGATTCGGAAGAGACCACAAAACGGCAGAAGTTAGCAGGACCAGCATCGCTTCCAGTTGAAGCCAAAGATCATGAAGACAAGAGTTGTACCCCAGTGGATGACAGTAACAGCAGTAGTGACGATGAAATTGGGCCCCGGCTGCCACCTCGAGATAATTCCCAGCCTGCTAGTGGAATAGATGATCATACACATCGTGACAAGAGCACAGACCAAAATGAATGCAAGCCCCCGAGCAGCGAAGTGTCTCAACGAGATGAATGGATGATACTTCCACCAGATAAACAATCCTGGATGTCAAATATTGATCCAACAGCCCTTCGTGGTCGCAAATTCAACACGGCTAGATCTGCTCAGACTTCTGCCAGAGGCGGGCGTGGTCCAAGTACAGCATGGACAGAGAACCCTGCACAGAAGAAAATCCGGCTTGAGAATGAGGTTCTGGGAATCCAAGATCCATCGAGAAGTGACCAGCAGGGACATGCAAGTGGTCCATCAAAAGTAGATGATGCTACAGCTGAGAGAATAAGGTCGTTCAATGTAAGTCTTTGCTGCCCAGATGCCATCAGAGGTGCTAATGACTCTACTTAGGAGAAAAGAAGGAAATCATCGCTTTATGAAAATCATAAACACAATTTGCAAGAATTGAATGATGATCCGAGCTCTCGGCCTTTTGACAAAGAAAAGGATATTCAAGGTCCTTCCAGCATAACATCTGCAAACCGTCGGGAAATGTTGAGGCGAGCTGCAGACTACAGTTCTCGCTTTTCAGGGGGGAAATTCCTGTAGGTGTCTTTGTGTATGTGTGTGTAAGGTCATTTAACACAATTCTTGTCACTGGCTAGGTGTGGGGGTTGGTAACTTAAACAGAGTGATTATGACTTAGCTGTTATGGAGATAATACACTGTCAACTGCCTACCTTACTGGAGTTTGCGGGTGCCAAACTACAGTGGATCCACTGTCTATAGACTGTAGAAAAAAATTAGATGTATATATAAATCTATACAGAGTACTATCTGTGCACAGCCAGGTGTCTCAGATAAGTATGCACAGGATATTATCACATAGGCAGTATAGAAGGCAGTAATTGCAATCAAACAAATGCCCTAGTAAATAGTTTCCTTCTTTATATAGTCAAATTTATTGAATTTGGTTGCAAAATGCTTCAAGATTTACAGTTGTGTTGGTGGTTGAATTTTTTTCTCAGGGACCGCGCAGCTCGGTGGTCTGCACAGCTCGGTGGTGGATTATGTTAAGTAAACTATGCTTACTAAGCCCAGGCACTATAGATCAGACTAATAGGGTCCCTAGGTGCCATTTCCTAGTAGCTATTTTGGATTCCTTTAGGAATTCAACTAGACTTCCCTGGCCTTCTTTAGAAAATAGATAGAAAGATTATAATCTTTTCTATCTACCCTAGAGAATGCTCTATATCTGGTGTCTCTATAGGCTGGGCAGTAGAATAACAGATGATATAGGGTCTGCTCCTGGTTGGTTTGGCATAGATTACAGGTTCCACTATTATATGCAGGTAGCCTAACTAGGTATGACCTGAAATACCTATGACCCAGTTTTAGCTGAATAATAGATGACCATAGTTGCTTAGTCAGCTTTAATAGGCTAACGTAATCCACCACCGAGCTGCGCGGACCACCGAGCTGCGCGGTCCCCGAGAAAAAAATTCAACCACCAACACAACCGTAAATCTTGAAGCATTTTGCAACCAAATTTAATGAATTTGACTATATAAAGAAGGAGACTGTTTACTAGGGCATTTAAGCCGATTATGGCCTGTTTGATTGCAATTACTGCATCTTGGTGGCCTTCGAGTCCGTGGTCTAGATGATTCCTGTAGTTGCTCCTCATGCTCTTGAGCTTTTTGCTGTCCTTCAGCACCTGTCAAGCTACCACCAGTTGCTATAAAGTATCTTGATGCCTCTCGCTTCCTTTTTAGACGCT